AGCCTTTGATTGCGCCCTTTGTTTCCGTTTCTTGAGTATCGTTTCGGGAACTGTCGGCACTTTCGCGGCGGTCGTCGTCGGCGGCGCCGACTTAGTCTTCGGTGCGCTCTTACTGTCCATCAAAACCCATACAAAACAGACAAACAGTTAATTAAATGGCAATTAAAATTCAATGCAATCAAAGCACGTGTTTATTGTGCGGACATTAAGGGCAACACTAAAACACTTTATAGACTATCAGTTCAATGATGGCTACAGTTATAGCAAACATCAAACTCTTAAGCAGTAGTTGTGATCATAAATAGTGTTAAATTGCGATTAAATAGTCATTAAAAGTGATTACAATTAAAAATTAAAACTCAACACAACTTACGTGTTAGACATCGTTAACAGGAAAGGGATGTATTGGACAGCCGTTCCCTCACAGACACCACTCTAGGCCTCACATAAAGCACGACATTTGCATTCAATGCTCATTCATGTAAATTAAACTAAAACTTTAATTTACTTGTTATATAATCATTGAAATTAAATTAAACCGATATTAATATTAATAAATTTAAGTGTAATTAAAGGAAAAGAGCGCTCTTTTAATGTGAACTCAATTTACAATATATTAAACATAGAAATAGTGTTGACGTTATTGAGAGACATGTGATATATTGTGATAACAAGTGATTTGTATACAAACAGTGCATTCAATTCATTGCGTTCAAACGACACAAAATTCGGTACTTAAGTAGCGTTTCATAAACGGCTAACACAGGTTGTGACTCTGGTGTGGACTGCCGGTCTTGGTGGGCTAATAGTGACATAGCCAGCAGTGGCGTTTCTGTGCCATTGATCGCAACTCGAAGTCTATTTGACGGACTCTTTGGCCGCAAGAAAGCCAAAAGTGATGACCAATTGGTGCCGACTGTGACGCCCGTCGAAGAGTCACTTCAGGCCAAGACATTGACCGACGAAGAGGTGATGGCAATGAGGGATAAGTCAAATCTACGTTGCGAACACTCCCGCGTCAACTCCCCGCTCTTATATGGTCTCTAGTTCAATAACTCTGTTAACTTCCGTGGCCGGCAGGCCTTTGCTATGCGGTGAATGCCGGCCCGCAGCCCAGACTTCGGCCCGGTGATGTGGCCCTCGAAGGATGAGTTGCAATGGCTTAAGGGATACGAACGGGTCTTTTGTAAGCCATTGCAGGAAATGGTGGGCGAAGTGAAGGAACGGAAGGAAGAGGAGGCGAGAGTGAAGAGCGATCGCGAGCGTCAGGTCCGCGAAAACCTCAAGAAATTACCGAAAATGAAAGCCGAGTTTTGGGCAAAACATAACCAAATGTATAGAGAGAAAGAGGAGGAGAAGCACAAGAAGGAGAAACTGGTTCAAGAGGTGCGAGAGTTTGTTGGCTATGACTTAGACCCGAATGACCCCCGTTTTGAGGAGGCGTTGATTAAGAGAGACGAAGAACTGAAACGAGTGCTTAAGGCTCAGCGCAAACAAGAGCGACACAAACTGACTCTCGAAAGGCTACAGACGTTGGCCAACGAAGCCATGGAAAGGGAACGACAGGACAAAGACATTCTCGAAAAGAGCAAATCCACGGCCAATGATAACAAGGCATCTAATAATTAGTCATTTAAATATCGTTTTTGTATTCATTGAAATAAAGTTAATTATTAGTGTATTAATTAATTTGCAAAAAGATTTTATTTGAATAATAAGAGAGAAAATAGAAATTTGGAGAAAAAGAGATTTTGATAATAAATAGAAACGAGAAATGTTTGATAATTGATATGAATTACTCGAAAACATGTTTTGATCGGTCGATACATTAAATATTAATGAAAAACATTAGTTAAAAACAATGGTTTGCATCACAAGTGAGAAATTAATGGCACATTCATTAGTGATTGTGTGTTAAATATATGCTTTAGATTTGGGATTATTTCGACACTAATTCCTTAATTAATGGACTCATTATTTTTTATTATCAAATAATGTGTTAAATAAATAGACTTTTAGTTAATTACCGTAAATATATAGACAATTAAATAGTGTTAATGACAAACAAGCGATGAGTTTCAATAGAAATAGTGATCGAAAAATAAATTATATTAATATTAAAGTGAATTTGTAAATATCACTTGGAGACCAATCACATGTCTTTCTGAAAATCACTAAGTAAACGATAAGATTAACAATAGTGTTCAATAAATATTACATATCAAACCTGGTTTGTAGACATTTCACAACAAAACAATTGTTAAGACAGTGAACAAAATCAAGTACACTATACGTATCATTCCTCAAATACAATCAATACAATGAATTATAAGGGAAATTAGATTCATTGTATTAAACACTCGGTTGTGTACAATCAGACAACATTATTATACACTATTTGGTGGGTTTACTATGATTTTATTTTAGTACACAATACGAACATTCATTACAGACAAACATTTAAAGACAGTGTAAATATAATAAAATGAAATTTTATTTTCAATTATATCTTCGCACCAAAATATATCAGTAATAAATAAATCGATAAAATAATTGTTTTGTTTGAATCCATAACTTTTCAAAAGTAATAATTTAAAAGCGTTTGTTATAATAATTAGATTCTGTAACTAATTCATAGCACTCTTAGGAATTAAAATAGTATTTTAGATGAGATTTAAATATCAATACTAAACACAAACCAATAAAAATTTATTGTTTCGCAGACTTTTTTGATATATTTTACGGGAGATTTAAACAAAACTTAAGTTAAACTTTAAATTCAAATTACGATATAATTATAATAAAAAATAATATTCAAAAAGAGTGATAATTTTTGCCGTTTAAGAGATGGGTCTGTCCTCAGGAATAGTTGGCGAAGTGATTGGTGTCGTGGCGTTCAAAGAGGACTTGCGTTCAGTACTGTTGAGCGCGTCTTCGAAACTATTGGTGCTATTGCTCCGAGAGGTCGACATTTTGCTCTTCACATCCAAACAAAACAAACCATTAATGAGTGTTTTGTAAATGCAATCGCAATTACAAATAGTATATGTCATACCTTAACAGTAGTGACGGCTGAGCCGACCCTTTCCTCGAAGGACTTGAAGGCATTGGAGTTCTTCACTTCACCCAACTTTCGGGAAACACTTCCGCCAAACGATCCAAACACTGAAGTGGTCTTCTCTGTGGCCGACTTCATCGCTTCAGACGTCTTCTGATAACTACTCATTCAAAACAACTAATATTAGCCGCAAATCAAACCAATAGTTAATTAAAAGCCAAAAGCAATAAAAGCTCCCAAAAGAGAAGCAAATATTAAAGACTGGATTAATTAGAATTAATAGTTAACACATACGCCGGGGCTGAGAATAGGCCCAATCCTGAGCTAAAGGTGAGGCAATTAATGACAAATAGAAAGAAATGGTTTCATTATAAGCACAACATTTCATTACACATTTGGTTATATAACAATCAATTAACCCGAAAGCCGTTCATAACATTCAAAACGCCGTATAAATAGATGAGATTACAGTCCATAGACTTAATATTAGTGCCATAGACTCAGCATTATTCCCATAGATTTAGCACTAATTCCATAGAGTTAAAATTCTTTACTCCCATACGATCAACATTATCCATTACACATAGAATTAGCATTGTCATAGACTCAGCATTGTCCATAGGAGTAGAATTATTCCCATAGGATCAACATTAGAGCCATATATTTAGCATAGGGTGAGGGTGGGCACAGCACGATCATATAAACCACATTATTCTATGCAGAATTGCGGTTAAAAAGCGGACAAATATATGCGGAGAAGTGGGGGTAGAAGGGATAGAGGGGAGCGGACACTCACATGGGGGCACTTTGTACCGCGTTATTCCATTCGACCAACTTATCGGACGTATCTTTATATCTATCACATGATAATCACATTAAAACATCTATACGTTTGACACTTCTTAAGACATATTTAATAAATAGGGACTCAAAACGTGTGATACGATTAAAGCTGTGAAAAAGGTATGATTTTGACAGATGTTATGTGTATTAAAAATCAATATTCAAAGCATTTGTAAATACAAGTAAATAAATTATAATCCGTGAGACACAGACTTAGACTCTCATCTATTTATAGGGACTGATATACGAGTAAATGGATGCAAATGTCATACGCTGTGGTCTCCTGAATGTTTTTGATGCCCTGTTCCATGTCTTCCCGGAACTCCTTCCAAACAGTGATCCCCAGCTTTCTCTTCAGTTCGTGAGATCTCTGCACTTTCGATGTCAACACCTGTCGCAGCGTTTGGATCTCCTCTTCAGTCTGACAAACAAACAAACAATGCATTCATTAAACACATCCCACCAGACAATGGCCTTCGCATACTTTGGCCAACTCTAGCCTCCATTCCTCCTGTATTTGTTCACGTCTTATGGGATCCATTGCCGAGAGATCATTACCGGTCTCGTGGGTCATGTCATAGCCCTCATCGCTCGACGCGTTGTAAAACGTGTCTAAAATGTGTCCAAATATATTAGTTAATATTGCATATCTCGACCCTTTAAAAACTCCAAATCCCCTATAATTACAAGTAATTTCAAAGTCCCGCTTCACTCCCATAGACAACCCATTATAAAAATGTGCCAAAACTCGAACAGAGCTATTCCGAAACGGAAACTATTTTCATATACCTTTCACTCCACCGAACACAACACTACTCAAACATTTTATCAAAATATAAAATATGTACATTTTATACAAATATTTTTGATAAAAACGTCATCATTTATTATCTGATATTTGTATATGAATTGTAGTTTTAATTACCGGCACTACAATTGTTTTAAAAAAATTAAGCAAAGCAGCACAAAATTGTCAATTAAAACAAAATCATCTATAACTCAAACTTTTTTTAACCACAATTCAACTATGAATAATGTGGTTTATAGGATCGATCGGCTAATATGGCATTTAACATGGGATCCCAGCTTAAGTCTATGGCTAACCTTTAACATGGGGCTAATTTTATCTTATGGGTAATGTTACTTATATGGAGAAAATTTTCAATGGGTTTCTATGGTATTACAGGTTAAGTCTATGACATAGGTTTAACATGGGTAATGCTAATCCTATGGACAATGGTAACTCTATGGGACTAATGCTAATCCTATGGATAATGTTAAGTCTATGGAATTAATGCTAATCATAAGGACAATTATGATGTACAATGTAAATGTAAAGTCTATGGGACTAATCCAATTTAAAGTCACATAAAATAATATACCATATATTGTCAATATGTATATAAATTAATGGATTAAATAAATGAAAACAGTAATTGACATTCCATTTATTTGATAAACACCGGTTGTTGTCAATCAAACAAGTTTATTGTGAATTCAATAATCAGTGATTATTAATAACAATAACACGCGATTACATTAAACTTAACCACAATTTATTGTCAACAAATGCAATACAACTCATTTGATAATAAATAACCGACTCATCGATGGCCACAAAGATTGGCAAATCATATGTACAATAATAATCAATAATTAATTGATCATCAAATCAAACCAATACCTAATTCTTCGCTCTCTTCAGCGCTGGCAATACGTCTGAAGGTCTCGTACTTTTCGGGGTCTAAGGGCTCGGGTTTGAGCCCATCTGTGCTGAGCTCGTCGTAATCGGCACTTCTAAGAGAGCCGTTCCGGTTATCGGCCGCTAAACTCTGTGCCCTTTTCGAGCTCTTATTGGCCGCAGATTTGCTATTATTTGGCTTTTTTGACGACATTAACGATTATTATCAANAGGACTGCATTGATGGGGTTTGTCTGCACCAAAAATTGATTGTCTGGTTGTCTCGTAACACAAGTGAACAACTCATCCGTGACTTTGGTTTTGGTTGTATTGAATATACATTTATTTGAGTCCAAATTCTTGAATATTATTTAAATGTTTAATTCATTAATAATAATACACTATTGCTGTGATTAGTGTACAAATTGGCAATTGTCACCAGATTTGCAACATTTGTCCACTTTCTTAAAGTATAAATAGTTTGTAGCGTTTGTTTCAATAGCGAGAATAGAGTGTAATTGTGTTTTACATTGACTGCAAATTAAAGTATTTGTTGTGTCAATAATATTGAGTGAATTGATTATATTTGGTGGACATCAGGAGGTCTAGTGTTATATGACTTGAGCGCACAGTAGGCTATGTGTGACTACCGGTGCTGTCGAACAAGTGTTTGCCATTCAATTCAATACTTCTGGTAATCAAAAAATAATGGTTTTTATGTTCAATGAAAAAACTACTGAAAGACAACTTTTTTGAAATATAAAACATAAATGTGTTGTCAATATATTTATATTTAAAAAATACATTTATATTTCGTATTATATTTTATTTTCTAATAACTTTATAATGAATTAATTATATCTAAAACACGTACAGTATATTTGTCTAATAGTTGCCACACTGTAGAGCACAGGTATGTTTACCAGACTATGGGCTCATTAATCACCATTTAGTGTATAGTTTGTTAATTGATTAACTATTGTTTAGCTCTTTTCTCATAAGTTTTTTTTGTAAATAAATGGTTTGAATTCATAATTGATATTATTGTCGATGCATTTAAAGTCATGTATTATTAGTGGCAATCGATTGCTAAGAGTTTTTCGGTGTAATTATTTTTAGCTCAAAATGTGTTATAAGACTTTTGATATGTTTATGTAATATTTAGAGTTTTGTATGTTAAGATTAGATTTCAGTAACACTGATATGAATATGTATTATAAATTAAGTATAATCTACAAATAATAAGATACAGTCAACTCTAGCTATTATATAACTGTTAATATAATGGTAGAAGTGTTTGGGGTGTATAGCGTAATGAATATTGTGATTAATCAAAACATTATTTGATGATTATATTGATTGGTGTGATATTTCAATTAATTACTGTCTACTAAACTAAATTCATTGTATTTTATCGGTAGACGCGTATAGTATATCGTATCAAAAGTTTAGCGTATTTTAGACTTTTCTGTCGTTTCTATTGATTTATGGTTTGAATGCATAGCAAAAAGTTGACAACTCTTTTGATAGAAAATTCCACAGAATTTGTTTTGTTGTTGATATTAATCAAGAAATGATTTCCGTATAAAAAGTGTTATAAATTTTGATTTACTTTTTTCATTTGAAATTTAACCCCAAAAGCTCTCAATCACTATATATTTTGTAAATCATTGTCAATGTTATGAACGTATAGTTTATGTACACTTGGCCACTGTTTTGCAACACAATTTAAACACTATTATGTAATGCATAGCAAAACAAGGTTTAAACGCAAAACATAACCACAATTCGGGAGTACGGAAAGAATAAAATATATACAAAATAGAAATATTTAGGAATTGGGATTTTAAATTTACTCTAATTAAAAAGGGAAATAATCACATAGAGATAGCATTGCCATAGACTTAACATTATTACGATATTAAAATTTACCCATAGACAAGCTGGAATCCCATGTTATTTGCCATACGGTGGGGAGGGGAGAGGTAGCGCGGGATTTTACAAACTACATTCATACGGAATTGTGGTTAAAAACGTGGTTTAAAGCCATAACATAAGTGTTTCATTGAATAAATACTGGATGTATAATGTAAGGCATATATTGATAGTACGGTGGTTGTGGAGCAACCGGTTTATCTGCCGGCCTGTGGACTGTCTCCCATTCAGACACCATTGCAACTCCAGGTGCTGGCGATGAGTCAGTTGTGAGTGACGTATAATACCTGTAATATAAGGGCCCTTAAGGTGTATAAACCTGGTCTCCCATCCCATCCCAACCCCAGACAACTCTCGTTTCTGCCAAACATGCCATCGGTTTGTTTTATTGAACTCTTCGGCAAACAGTATATGTATTTCTTAATGCATTCATAAGATTGTAATACGTGTTCAGTCATTGAGACTCACATCTGATTGCATTATAACAACCAATTCATTAAATAGTGCTCTAATTTAATTGCCATAAACTCTATTATTAGTGCCTTTTTATATTGATTTTTCTTGTTTTCACTGATTATCACATTTTGTGCACATATTTTATTTATAATCATATTTACTGTTGTGTTTGATTTGCAAATTAATGACATTTTGTTTGTTTTCACTGTTTGTTTAACTCAATTATTTAGTCAATTAATTGTAAATTTTAAATTTTTGCGCAGTTTTATGCCTAATATTGTGACGATTATAAAAACAATCGCAATATTTATTTTGTAAATTAATATTTTTTTAAATATTGTGTGAAATATTGATAATAATCGTTAATGTCGTCAAAAAAGCCAAATAATAGCAAATCTGCGGCCAATAAGAGCTCGAAAAGGGCACAGAGTTTAGCGGCCGATAACCGGAACGGCTCTCTTAGAAGTGCCGATTACTACGAGCTCAGCACAGATGGGCTCAAACCCGAGCCCTTAGACCCCGAAAAGTACGAGACCTTCAGACGTATCGCCAGCGCTGAAGAGAGCGAAGAATTAGGTATTTGTTTGATTTGATAATCACTTGATTATTGATTCTTATGGTACATATGATTTGCCAATCTTTGTGGCCATCGATGAGTCGGTTATTTATTATCAAATGAGTTGTATTGCATTTGTTGACAAGTTGTTGGCCACCAATATTGGCATTAAGTTTAATGTAATCGCGTGTTATTGTGATTATTGAATTCACATTAAACTTGTTTGATTGACAGCAACCGGTGTTTATCAAATAAATAGAATGTCAATTACGGTATTCATTTATTTAATCCATTCATTTATATACTGTACATATTGACAAATATGATATTGTATATTATTTTATGTGACTTCAAATTGGATGCCATGTTATTAGCCATGTTTTGTGGGGAGGGGTAGCGCGAGATCCTATTCTTTTTAAATTGTGATTAAAATAATTTTTAATCAATTGTTGATATAATGTTTATTGAAACAAGGATCACACAGTGATGCTATAAGTTAACCACAACTCCTGTATTAGGATTAGTATAGATTAGCATTAGCTACATATTTAATATGAATACAATAGACTTGCCATAGACTTAGAACTAATTCCATAGAGTTAATGTGCATTCGTCCCATACGATCAATACTATCCCGTAGATCATTAGTCCCATAGATTTATCATTGTCCATAGAATTAGCATTAGTCCCATAAACGCAGAATTATTCCCATAAGATTAGCATTGCCATAGACTTAGCATTACCCATGTTAAAGTATAGCCATAGACTTAAGCTGTAATTCCATGTTAAATCCCATAGTGCTGGGGGAGGGGGTAGCCGAACGATCCTATAAACCACATTATTCATAGCTGAATTGTGGTTAAAAAGTTTGAGTTATAGAGGATTTTGTTTTATTTGACAATTTTGTGCTGCTTTGCTTAATTTTTTAAAAACAATTGTAGTTCCGGTAATTAAAACTACAATTCATACAAATATCAGATAATAAATTATCACGTTTTTATCAAAAATATTTATATAAAATGTGCATATTTTATATTTTGGTAAAATGTTTGAGTAGTGTTCGGTATTGGGTCTGTGAAAATAGTTTCCGTTTGGGAATAGAGTTAGAGTTTTGGCACTTTTTTATAACGGGTTGTCTATGGGAGTGAAGCGGGACTGCAATGATAGGGGATTTCGAGTTTTAAAGGGTTCGAGATATGGAATATTAACTGTAATATATTTGACACATTTTAGACACGTTTTACAACGCGTCGAGCGATGAGGGCTATGACATGACCCACGAGACCGGTAATGATCTCTCGGCAATGGATCCCATAAGACGTGAACAAATACAGGAGGAATGGAGGCTAGAGTTGGCCAAAGTATGTGAAGCCCATTGTCTGGTGGGATGTGTTATGAATGCATTGTTTGTTTGTCAGACTGAAGAGGAGATCCAAACGCTGCGACAGGTGTTGACATCGAAAGTGCAGAGATCTCACGAACTGAAGAGAAAGCTGGGGATCACTGTCTGGAAGGAGTTCCGGGAAGACATGGAACAGGGCATCAAAAACATCCAGGAGACCACAGCGTATGACATACTATACATTTGCATCCATTTCTCGTATCACTCCTTATAAATAGATGAGAGTCTGAGTCTGTGTTCACCGATTATAACTTGTTTAGGCGGCGTTCACATATTACGTTCGCACTTTTTAAGGTTTCTAGACTCCTCTCCTATGTTCGCATTTGTTGACATGTAGTCATTTTAAGCAAGGATTACACAGCGATACTATACGTTAATCCCATTCGGGTATTACTCAAAGAATAGATTAGCATTATCTACACATTTAATAAGAGTTCATAGGATTAGCACTCCCCATAGACTTAGCATTGTCCATAGACTTAACATTAGTCCATAGAGTTAGCATTAGTCCCATTGAGTTAGCATTAGTCCCATTGAGTTAGCATTAGTCCCATTGAGTTAGCATTGTCCATAGGGTTAGCATTGTCCATAGGGTTAGCATTGTCCATAGGGTTAGCATTGTCCATAGGATTAGCATTGCCCATGTTATCCCTATGCCATAGACTTAGCATTACTCATTTTAAAGTATAGCCATAGACTTTTGCTGTAATTTCATGCTAATTCCCATAAACTCAAGTATCCCATGTTAAAGTATAGCCATAGACTTAAGCTGAGCGGGGGGAGGGGGGCCGAACGATCCTATGAACCACATTACTCATAGCTGAATTGTGGTTAAAAAATAACGTTCGCATGTGTCTAGCAGGTATGTTATCCCTTAAATTCTTTAAATGGCAACTTAAAGTCTTTACCCCCCCCCCTCGTTCGCAAAAGTTCGCATTGACCGACCCCCTCCCCCCATGTGAGAATGTAATTTGTGAACAACGCCTTGTATTTAGAAATGCTTTGAATATTGATTTATAATACACATAACATCTGTCAAAATCATACCTTTTTCACAGCTTTAATCGTATCACACGTTTTGAGTCCCTATTTATTAAATATGTCTTAAGAAGTGTCAAACGTATAGATGTTTTAATGTGATTATNTTTAATCGTATCACACGTTTTGAGTCCCTATTTATTAAATATGTCTTAAGAAGTGTCAAACGTATAGATGTTTTAATGTGATTATCATGTGATAGATATAAAGATACGTCCGATAAGTTGGTCGAATGGAATAACGCGGTACAAACTGCCCCCATGTGAGTGTCCGCCCCTTCTATCCCTTCTACACCTACTTCTCCGCATATATTTGCCCGCTTTTTAACCACAATTCTGCACAGAATAATGTGGTTTATAGGATGTGCTGCCCCCTCCCCACCCCACCCTATGCTAAATATGACAATGCTAATTCTATGTACCGGTAATGATAACTCTATGGAATTAGTGCTAAATCTATGGGAATAATGCTGAGTCTATGGCACTAATATTAAGTCTATGGACTGTAGTCTCATCTATTTATACGGCGTTTTGAATGTTGTGAACGGCTTTCGGGTTAATTGATTGTTATATAACCAAATGTTGTGCTTATAATGAAACCATTTCTTTCTATTTGTCATTAATTGCCTCACCTTTAGCTCAGGATTGGGCCTATTCTCAGCCCCGGCGTATGTGTTAACTATTAATTCTAATTAATCCAGTCTTTAATATTTGCTTCTCTTTTGGGA